TGAAGACTGAGACAAGAAAGTTTGCAGTGAGCAGACTTTTGGGGCTGGAAGTCAAACCTACCTACCTACCTACCTACCTACACAGAAGCAGTTAAATGTGCCACACCAGCGGCTTGCTCTTGCCAGATGCTCGCCCATCTGAGCTGATCCTGCAGAAAAGCACTTGGACGCACATGCGCGTTTTCATTTACTCCTCTTTAATCAATGGAACTATTTCCGTGCAGTGGCCAGAGTGCTTAGCACACAGCAAGGGAAGGCTGCGTAGTTTTACCGGCTGCTCTGCCTCAAGCCTATTTTTTCATGTAGACGTGTCCCTGTTTCCATCATCACAATTTTTTTCTCCACGTTACATAGCCACATATAAAATAGCACATAGAAACGTGGAGGTGCCACAGTGGAAGCAGTAACATACAAGCAGCTTTGGAGATACCTGTAAATACATTTCAATTCATGAACAACTGAACTGCATTGAACTGCAGTGAGACTTGGCGTCTAGAAAATACAAATCCTGTAGAAGACTTCAACCAACAAAATGATACAGTAAGCATGTCTGTATTATCCTGTAAAGACCAAACACCAAGAAACTGAATAGATGGTATCCAGCATGCTATGATTTTTTTTTTCCCCCCAGAAAAACTACAGAGCTGTGACTCCTACATACGCAATTTTTATTGGAGAAGATCCTGAGAGACCCCAAGGCACCATTCACGTAGGCAACTTCATCCGCCTTGAATTACAACCACTTACGGGCTGGAATGCAGCAACTGTCCAGGAGGAAAAGATTACACAAGATTTTGTAAGGTTTTCGTTTACTAAACAGAAGAAATCTAAAGGTAGGGTGCATAGATTTGCCCAGATGGGAATCTAGCTAGGACACATACATTAACAGCTTAACCTCATGATGAATGCAGGTTCAATAAGAATGAAGGGACTTCATTATAAAATATCAGTTAAACAGTCAGCAGTGTAGTCCAGCAATATTTTGAGAACACGGGTTAAACACCAGATCAAAAGAAGCCCAGTATATCAGCTGAGTCAAAGACACCAGTTTCTCTGAAGCTACTGATTTCCTTCAGCATCTCAAACCAACAAGGTTAGACCCTAATTAGTTCATGAATTTGACAAAATCAGACATCAAGACGTCACGGCTGTAAAACCAGCAAGTCTATTAATGAGAACTTAAAACAGGAAAATATATTTTGCTATACAGAAGCAGATACTTGTGCTGTAGTGGAACAATCCCATTAAAACCAATATGGATGACCAAGCACAGCAGCAAGTAGAGGTTGGGGAAAAAAGGTCAACAAAGAGATACCACCGAGTTTATATAGTGAAGGGGACTTCTCAGGCAAGCTGTTAACACCACCTCATCTGCTCTTTTTCCTGAATATCTATACCTCATCCACCAACTTAATTTTTACCTCACTTGGGCATCTCCCTACTCCCTCTTGGCACTCTTGACAAAATGGACAAGTTCTGGGGCTACAATACGATTCAGTAGAAAGCCTGGAAGCAAGGAGTGGAAAGGCAGCAGCAGCTTTCACAGTCACTTCTTCCTCCTTCTTGAGGCAGAACTGGGATGACAGGAAGAAAGTGGCAATGTGATTTTTTAAAAACACTTTTGCTTTCTCTGCCAGCTGGAGTCATGCAGGAACCAGCCAGCTCCCAGCGTGGTAATTTATTCTCTAAATCAAGACTCTCTCCCCCCTCTCATTTCTATCTCTGCTTCTTTGGCAGATTATTTTTAACCCATTCCGAATTGTCATGCAACCCCACAAACAGCTGTACTGATGCAACTGATGCAAAAAGAAGCCTAATGAAAAAGGATTAGATAAATATGAGGACTACTGTGCCAGTTTAAAAAACGACAACAACAACAAAAAATCCACTGTTGCTATCACTAGTAGGAGCCAGGAAGTCCAGAAAGACTTCCCCTTGCCCCAAAGGTAGGCAGGGCTCTAGTTGCTTTCCATATTTTATCACTCTATTGATTTTTTCCTGCCAAAAAGCCTACTACAGTAAGATAGCCTGGAAATGCTTTTCGGCAGGAGAAGTTAGCAGTGGTGAAATCAGGCCAAGCCAGGGGAACTTTGCTTCCAAAACAAAAAGATGTAACAACGCACAGAGCCAATGAGGGAAATAAGCTCTTGCAATAAAAGCATCATTAGAGCTAAGTCACTGTCCGATGGGTCGCCGAGACCCAGCAGGACACAGTGTGAACACACTTCTGTTATCAAATCACAGACAGGCAGGCAGCAAAATAACTATCCTTGGTTTTTTTCCTGGTTGTACATGTCACCTGCAACTTCTCTTTCAGTTTCAGTATTTATTTCGAGTTGGTTTTGCTGCCATTTCTTGTTTGTCTTGCATACACGTGACTTCCTTCCATTTCACCACAAATTTCCACCAAATAAAACCATATGCACTGCCATAGCAACATTTTAATACAAACACAGGGTAATCTTTGTTCACTGAAGTACACAGTTGTTCTTTTTTTTCTCTTATTAACAGAACCTGCATCTGCATACAGTTTAACTGAATGTCATAGCAACAACATAAACACAAATCCAAGATATTTTTTCCTTTGGAGGGAGGAAGAATAAATGTTTTCAGGAAAAGAGCGTGGGACTTAAGAAAGCAGAATGAAATGTTTGTGACCAAATATGGCCTGAAGTTACATCATCACAGCTGTATACTTACTCTTTGAAAGCCTGCTCCTGCAAGGTGTTATACATTCTCAGTTCCTACAGATGTCAATAGAGAACAGCCGTATCTGCCTGGCAGGGCAAGGTCTGAATCACAGCTACACTTAAACACAACACATAGGCGGGACTTGCTATCAGCACTAAGGTGAACTGAGAAATTTATGTACTTCAATAGACTAGAGTGCATGTTCTACACGGTAAACAGTTTTACTCCTAATGCAAAGTAAAACTGCACTGTTCGACTGGAGTCACAAATATTGGTCCGGCATGCTTCTAAGCCCTACTGCCAAACACACACTTTGCAGCATGACCCTCTTCTCTATGGACCAACAATTCCTAATGTGGAGATAAATACAGTAAAACCTAGACTTCAGACGTGTTCATTCAAAACTTAGCTGTTATGCTGACAGGGGGTATAACGTTGTTTACCGATGACAACTCAGCAACTTATGCCTCATACCCCCAAGAAGTTATACAAAAAAGGAAAAGAACCAAGTTCTCTCATACGGCTGACTCAATCCTACCTCTCAGCTATTGCTATGCGCTTAGCTATGCTCTATTTTTGTCCTTTATAGCTTGTGAAAGGGATGACTTCATTAAGCTTTTAATTTTTTTAAGCATGTTCATTCAGGACAAGAGCCTTTATTCCTTGCTTTATAAGCTGATGGTCCTTCAGCTCAAGCATACCGTGAGGGTTCAGGGTTTGAAACCTGAAAAGTCTAAACATTAAAAGAAATGCCATAACAATGCTACACACAAAGAGCTTGTTCCTTCTGTGACAAGTAGTTTATAGAGGAAAATAAGAGAGTAAGCATAGTAGGCATGAAATCAAGCACTCTGCGCAAGCTGGTGTTGAATGATGGAGATTAAAACAACATCACACAGTTTTCATTCACAGACGTCATCTGTGCTGAATCAAGGCAGTCCTGTAGGGATCCTCGTATAGTATGATTACAATAGTATGTTTTCAAAGTAGACAGAACTGAAGTCTTCCAGGCAGCCTCAGCTCCATGTCTTAAATACCAAGTGCTTGACCAGAAATTTAAAAACACAGCTTTTAAAGATGCATTTTCTTTCTCCAGTTTATTACAAGATGCTCGTTCTGGGTTAAGTCACTCAGAAAGGAATTGAAAACTTCCCCTAACTGCCTATGAAAGCGTTAAAAACCATCTGCCTAGCCAAAGAGTGCATAAACTTTGATTAAATCAGTAACCTTATTATTATGAAGAATTCCCACTGTTGCAGCTGTGCTTATACACAACACATTCAGTGGGACTTGCTATCAGCACTACCGTGAACTTAGAAATTTATGTACTTTTTTAGACTAGAGTACATGTCACCTGGCAGCAGTAAGGCTGTGCTTTTAGCCAGAGACCATTATTTTGACTCATTTTTATAAACAAAAATTGAAAAAGTTTAGCAAAACTGCATAAAAATACCTGAATTCCATCTTGGCTTGCATTTGATGAATCACCACTGCTCAAACCAGTGTAACCGTTATCAAAACTAAATAAAAAGAGGTAAATAGTAACCTGGGAATGAATGGCAAATGCTACTACTATCAAATTTACTTTCAATTTGATTAACTCTGGAAGATGACTCCCAGCTTTGGGAAATTTCAGTTCTAGTAACCACCACAGAAATGCTCCTTAATGTTTTTTAAAACCTTCTTTAAGGTAGGAAAAGATTTAAATCTGAAGGATAGATTTAACAGCATCTTGATTTAAAAAACAAGTTGCATTTGACTCACAAGGAAGCTTAAACTAGATTTATGTAAGTAAAAAAAAAAAGCAGACAAACCCTTTCATACAATTAATGAAAACCTCCAAGAGTGTAGGAAAGTAATGCAAATCACTAATCTGTGTTCCTCAGCCAAAGACTAATCACACACACATGCAGATCAACACATATTTGCAGCACTCTCATTTCCACTGTGTGCTATGAATCTTAACAGAAATGCCACGCTTTTACTCCAGATGAAACATTTTCTGGCAAATGAACTGTGGCAGTTTTGCTGTTCTGCTCTTTTATCGATGTTATTATGAACGAGTTCAAGACTGGTTTAAAGTAATTTGTGGCTACTAAGTCAGCGTGCCGTAATCACTGATTAGGAAAAGCTTATTCACTTTCACTGAACTGAAAAAATATGAAAGCAGCACCTACAGCTAGGAATCCTGGTCCTTTAAAAAGGGTTAAAAAAACAAACATTGAAACAAGAGGTGGGCAGAGGACCAACAATGACTAAAAAAGAAAATACAGCACAGGTGGCTACTGCCAGGCAAGAAGAAAAACTTTCCTGTTTTACCAGGGGTTGCAAAACACATGAGGGAAAGGACACGTGATACCACTGTGAGAAAAAATAGTATGTGACTACAAAAGTCTGATGCTCTTTTCAAACAGTAGCTAGATGTCATTTTTAAAGACAATTTGTTTGCAAAAGTGTGAAAAAAAAAATTTCTAAAACTTTGAACATCCAAAAAATCCTCTCCACGCAGCATGACTGGTAAGGAACCAACAGCCTGGTGCCCTGAAGCCTAGACTGAGAGTCTGGAAGCCCAAGCCCTCTCCCATGTTGGTGCCACGACCTCCTGTTACGTCAACAAGTTCCTTCACTGCTTTCCGTTGTCTTTCTACCTGTAATGACTGAAAAAACACCTCCATGGCAGTTTAGTGTGCATCCTGTGCCACCAACTTTTGTCACAAAAGGTGCTAGTCTCAAGCAGGAGACAGACTGGGGTAACAATGATGGCAGCAACAACCTCACAGAGCTGTTTACAAAGTGATTATGTCCTTAAGACTTTACAGGTGCCGACTTAGCTAGACCCTTGCAAACTAACCCCAAATGCCTATGCTGATTCCTGAGAACTCCCTGGTGCAAGTGTGCAGAGCGGCCCACCTGTCTCACACTGCTCACAGCACACGCTGTTCTCATCCTCCAACAGACCTCACAGACACGGGGGACTTCGACATAGTGATAAGTGGTCTGGGATCTAGAAATCTTCTCAGAAGTTAGCAACAGATTTCTGTTGTCAGCAGATGATACAGTACAGGACTTGTTTTTTAAGGTTTATTTGTTTTTAAGTAGGTAAATTTAGTTGATACTTCAGTAAATATTTACAATACCTGGCTTCAGTAGGTAAACTAGTAATATGAGATGCATAACATAACAAGATGCAACCAAGTAAGAAAAAAAAAAGTATTGCACCAGGCACCAAATTGTCACCACAGAATATTAAAGTCAGAAGGTAAGATCACCTGCAGCAGCACAGCATGATAAAGAAATACCCTAAAAGAAAATTAATCTAATGAAACATCAGTGGTTTTTTTCCAGTGAGTTTAAGCATTAAGACTCAAATCCACATATAAATACAAATATGTGATCAGATATTTAAACTCAGAAATCAGACACTCAGCTGTTAGGGTAAAAGGAAAAAAAAATACTGTTGAAACTAACTTGGAAACTTTAAATTTGAGTCACCCTGATTTATTAAAGATACATGGACAAAAGGCTGCAATTAAATAAGAATATCATTTTTTTTCTGGAACCAGCAATTCCCCATCTCTTTATTTACATCTCTAAATATGCGTTTCTAAATCCAAAAATAGGCTGGCAGTTTGGAAGTGTTGCCTTTAGTGAAGGAAGCCAAACCAACCCTCTGAATACACAGTTGTATAAAAAAAGATTAAATTTAATTAAAGAAAAAAATATAAAATGCTCATTCCACCCTCCTCTCTCAAAGAACCATCATGAACTGTCCCGAATTTCCCCTTCTTCCATAGATGACAGGGATGAACTTTCACTGTCCGAGTTCTCTGTACGTTCACTGGCATCTGAGGGTGTAGGACACAAACAAAAAACAAGCAAGCAATTAGTTTCAGCAATGTTGTTTGCTCATCAAACAGAAGCAGTTTCGTACCTTCTTTTCCTTTTAATCACACTTTCCTTGAGGACAGCTATTTGATCAGACATAACCAGTCTCGTAACATGGGATAAAGCCCTAGGTAGGACCTTGTTGTTGAAGGAGAAAGCAAGACAATATTGAGAATTTCTTTCAGTTTTTAAATCTTGGTCTTTCAGTCAAGTAGGTAAGCAGAGTATTTATCCCACACAAAACTCTTCATCCACTGAGAATTTCAAATTGTTCTCTTGGCTTATTTGTTTTCAATGTTGTTTTCTGGGTTGCTACAAACATAGATCACAACTGTAATGAATTACATATCATTTACACTTTTATTAGCATTTCAGTTAAGATGGGGAACTACTCAGAAATTCTAAACGGAAATGGAAAATTAAGATGATGCACCTATGTGCTCCTTCTACATGTTCCAGCATCCCAAAGATGGTGTTAAGCTGTGTGAATCCGTGAGCTAAGGCTGATGAGGTTAAAGGTGCACAATAACTTCTGCTTTAAGACACAGCTGTTGCGCTCTGCTGAGATGGTATTGTGAAGCACTCATTTCCCAAACTGGTCTTGAGCCTCACACCCCGAGAGTCCTTCTTTAACAAGCACTGACCCCAGTCACCTTGTGCTGAGGTCACCAAATGCCACTGGTCGGTGGCACTCAAGCACCACAAAAATAAACTACAGCAAAGTAGGCCCATGATTCACACTCTGCTCTCATTGTTATTTTCAGTATTTGATTTGACTATGAAGTTAAAGAAGTTTTTGAGCATTGAGGAAACATTACGAACAGGGAGCTGATGAAGTATAGTTACTGTCTTGTCAAGATAAGTTCTACAGCTGGCAAACATAGATAATACATAGGACACAGTGTGCACCTGTACAATTTCAGCGGAATTTGTTCAAGAAAATAGAAGCATTTCACCCAGAAACATTGGAGGTCACATTTTGTCTACACTAAATCTAGTGTATAATCAATTAACATTTATATGCCAGATATGTACTGAGTAATGCACAAAGTAAGGATTGTTTTTGCCCCTAAGTCCTGTGAAAGCTTCTATAATCCCCTACTATCTTCAGCCATGACTGACCTTGTATGATGCAATCAGAGCACCTGTAGTTTTTTTGCTATAAGCAAGTCAAGCATCAAAACATCACATAAAAGAATGTGGCAATCTTCTGACTCACAGCGAAGCTCAACAGACAAATTTTAGCTTTAGTTTAGTCTGTTACAGTAAGCCTTATTTAACAGGAATTACAGATTGTCTTCACTCAAAAAGAACATATTTTTGTGGTGTTGATAGCATTGCCTATAAATTAAGGTTGCCCAGTCCTTCCCACCATAAAACTATCTGCAGTTTACTTATAATGTAAAACTTAAACTCTGGGTTTAATTTTTTTAGTGCCAGTTTCCATCCTCAATCATTATTTTTCTTATTTTTTGGGAAGTTTCAACCAAAATACTTCAGCCATTTCTGAGAACAAGGATAGGAGAAACAGGCTTTGTCCTCATTATATTCTAGCAGTTTGTCTTTGAAGGTGTGCGGCTCTAGCTCTTCGCCAGTCTTTGGGGGTAGTAACTTGAACTGCAGGGGAATGGTGATCTTTCCCCAGCATGTGCCTATTGCTGTGGCTATGAAAACTTGCCTCTGTTCTTCCTGGGGAAGGGGGGAGATCTGAGATTGCTCAGTAAAGAAACATCATTTTAGCAGTTAAATCCCACAAGACTTTGTTTCTTGTACTAGCCTGGGTCCTTTGTAAACAGACCCTGGAGGGCTATGGTAGTTTGGAGCCCCCATGCTCCGGCAGACACCCTGCCAGACATCCACTCATCAATGCGGCAGCTGTTTGCCTGGAATGCAAAAGGGAGGTCAGCCGGACAGGCGCTCTGAGACAACTGTCCCTCCGGGTGCACATGCAGAAGGCAGAAAGGAAAGGCAGTATTGGTAGAGATAGGATAAGCAAGAGCAGGATGGATGGCTTAGGAGGAGCATGCAACTGATAGAAAAAGCCATACATGGTGAAGAAACTGGACTGCAAGAAACGCACAAGATGCTGCAGCAGAAAGGTCACTTCTTGGGAGATGGGAGTGGGCTAAAGTATCCCTCTGATTACAACAGACTTCTCCCTGGAGAGTCCAGAGGTGAACCCAAGATTTCCACTCCTAGCAATTACCTGTGAATGCAACTGGCACAGCAAACTGCTCTTTTTTCTCTTTTATTCTTTAAAGATGACACACCACAGAAGAGCACAATGATTGTGCCACACTTCAACAAAAGTGGTATTTTGTCTTCGAGTGGAGTAACAGCAACAAAAAAGCCCACCTATTTTTATATTAATGCTCTGAACATGCTTTTCCTGAAAGAATCTGGAGTTACTGTGGCAGGCTTCCCCTCTTAACAGAAAAAGCTCCAAGAACACAGGGTCCAAACCAAACTCAAGGCTGAAGTTAAGTGTTAATATGTTAACTAAGAAGATGTACAAAAATAAATTATGATAAATGTTGTGAAAATCATGCTATTTTTGCCATTAGCTATAATCTTTTGCTATGTTATACCCAAGACATCTCAACAGGGAGCTATGCACTTGATTTTTATGGAATCTATAGAAACAGTTAAAAAAAGAAAACAAGATTAAGAAAATCAATGGTTCCCAAAACCTGAAATAGCTGCCAGCGTTCCCTGAATACCAGCTTCAGGGATGACTGCTAACTGAATGATCCCTGCAGCAAGAGGAAGGTTACCGTCTTGAAGATACACACTTGCACTGCCCTGTGACAGAGCTGTCGGCACTTCCTCAGCTATTACCATCTCTCTCTGCCCTTTTACAGAATCAGCTAGTTGCTGCGGCAGCACAACCTCAAAACATAGTTGTTCAATCAACGCTTACTTGAATCTATACTCTTAAAAGTACAACCTCTCTACTAGCTCAGGAGACAATGACAACCACTCTATTCAGATTAAGTTTATGAGTCAATCAATTTTAATTCCCTCCTGACATCTAAATCATAGGGGTAGGGCTGACTACTGAAAAGCAAGGGACCTAGATCAATAAATAATGGATAAACTGAAAGTACCTAGTTTCCTTGTACTCCAGTATATGTATGTGCACTCGTAGGGTGCATATCAGCAGACCTAGTTGCTCAGACAAAACTCCTACCTTCACCCCTGGCAGGGTGCCTCACTCTCAGGAGCTCTTGCAGTGCATAGCACAAGAAATGTTTGCATGCCATTTCTTTGAGAGCAGATTGCTCCAATGGATCACTTAGTGTCATCTAGGCAGAACAGCCAAGATCGATGGAAGTTTGATATCACTGGTACAATATTCTCAGTCTCTCATTTATTCAGTCAAATTATATACATATAGAGCCATGATCGAGTTGCCACAGGGCAACAGCCATTGCAAACATATTTCAAAGCTTTTCCTCAGAATCTGTAAAAATTACAGACTGGCCCATCACTGAAAAGTATGGAATTTCATAACTAAGGAGACTAGCTGGGGAACTACGAGACAAGGGAACTGATTCCCTGTATCAGCAGCTGCAGAAAGTGGAAGTGGGACATGAAGCCTTTATACTGGGGAGAAAGATGGAAGATGGAAATTAACTTCAAAACTAGAGTACAAATTCCTGCTAGACCTGGACTCTCCTGTAAGTTAACTCCAAGATGAAAGTTCTCCCTCAACTAAGTACTTTTCGAAAGATAACACAGTCTTTTTAACCCACCCGAAAAGCTACTTTGCCATTACGATTTCTAATAACTATTCTGTAATTCAGAATTATCTATCCAATGTTAGGAGTTAGGCTAGGAAATAAAGGAGAATGATTCCTCTGTATGATTAGCAGGCTTACTTAAAACTCATCTTCCCCAGACAGCTTTGACTTTCTAGAAATAACCAACTCTGTCAAACTTTGCTATATACAAAACTTAGCCGAAGTCTGAAAAGTTGTTCTACCTTAGTGGCTAAAACTCTACAAAAAAGGAATCAAGCACCCATAAACAAAGTTAGGAAAAACACATACAATACAGCTTATGGATGTAAGCCATCAGAGCATTCACAACAGCTTTTTTTATAGCAATCTTTTAGATTCAGAGAGAAATACAAGACATACTGCATATTCCTGGCATTATTAATAGGAGTATCCTTAATTATTGTTTATTTAACTAAAATATCTAAGTATAGCATAACAGGAAATAAATATATGCTTACCTTGGCCAAGAACCACCATGTCATTCTTCAATGTTTTCAAGACCACAAATAATGTTGGATACTCAATTATTACTTTGCCTTTCAAATTGTCCAGGAGGCTTCTACTGGCATCCAATTCATTGTACCTTAAAAGTAACAGGGAAATTTATTTTGGATTTTAATACTACCAAGGACATAATGTACACTTGGAGGCAGAGAGGGGGAACACTTTTGGGCAATTCACAGGATCTTCAGATGATATGATGTTCAGAAGAATTACCTTATGATTCAAATTACATATCCAGTCTTATTATCAACTTCATATTTTTTTTTTAAACCATCCTAACATCTAAGCATAAGAACAAGAGGAGAATCAAAGTCAAATAAATGTTTTATGAGTTCTTAATGAGTATCTTTACCAAGACTGAATATGGACATAGGGTTATCAAAATGGATATATTTGCCAAAACCAGATTCTAAATTAAAAATAACACTTAATGTTCTACTTATGGGCTTTAACACTACAGGTTTAATTTACATAGTTAGTAGTGTACCTTATTTAACATGTTTGCTTATGAATTATCAGTGAAGTACTGGGAAGATGAAATAAAAAGCATATCTGAACAACTACTAAAGCAAAGGTATATTGGAAGCACTTAGAACTCTGGTTTTGTAGAAGGGTGGGCTCTGATACCCAGAACATTGGGGCAATAATTTCTAAAAGACAGTACAATATCCCCATTTATGCCTAAGCAAATCTCTGCTTACAGCACCATCTGCAAGAAACTCCCTGTAGAAATCTCATATGTGTGTGCTACAAGGGGCGCATGACTTGGATGAGCAGTCCCTTCCCAGAAAAGGGCTCCTCTTCACCCTGGAGGGTGAAGCCAGGTACATAGCAAATGATGCCACAGTAATAAGAAGTAAACTGAGCATCTTCTCCATAACTATTTCCTAGAACTGTAATATTCTCTCCCAACTCTCTAACTGGAAACCTGGACATGGGATTTTGGAGAAAGGAAGGGATATTTCAAAGCCCTCTGAAAGAGACACCCTGTTTCTTTCACTTGCTGTAACTGTGGCATCCAACAGATGCTCTGATATTATTACACTGCAATCTGAGTTATGCAATTCTTTCTGTAATCAGCATTATTAAATTACTACTAAGCTATTGTATCAGTTAAAGGCAAATGAAGTTCAAAACCAAAATAAACTGTAGGCAATAAGTGGAGTACTTCCCATAGCTGCTTTACCTCCTCTGATCATTAACATATTATGCAGTTGGGTTTTCTTTTGCCAAAAACAACACTGGATGGGTGAAGGAAATGATATACTTTATGATTTACAGTAATGTGTGATTAAGAACAGTATATCAGAGGAGTCAGCACACAAGAATAATACTGAAGGTAAAACAGGATTTGAGTTCTTGGGATTTAAGGGAAACTTAAGTTTGAGCAAAAACTATTTCTCTCTCATATTCAACTTCAATCATCATGAAAATATTTGGTTTCATGTTTCTCTCAACCCAAAGTAATTATGACCTCTTCTTACTGAAATCCTTTAAAAGGGATAACAGTATATTACATTTCTTATTGAATGAATGCATTCATAACTTGTGGATTAACACACATGAACAGAAACATATTTACTGCTTTATTTACAGTACTCTAAATGCAAAGTATGGCAATACCTTTCCTTTGGCAAGGACCTCAACACATTCTTTTCTGGTTAAGCAAACATTTACCACCAAGAGGCTAAAGTAATTCACATGCCACAATACAGTTTCCATTATCTCATGTTTTAGACAAAACATCTTTAGGATCCAGCTTGGCATAAGATAAAACATTTGTACTGAAAACTATTTTATGATAGTAAATTACTGAAGTGTTAGATCACCAAGGCAGAGCTTTATCTTTTTTGTTTTTAAAGTAAATTTTATTGGCTGACAGTGACAGAGAAAATATCTAAATTTCTAGTGCATAATGTGGGCTGAAAACTTCAGGGAGAATATAACAAAGGAGCTTAATACTTCTCTTTTTTAAACTTTGCTGTTACTGTCTACGCTATCCAAAGACCTCAGTCTACCACATTCCCCACTTTATACACAAGTGCAAGTTGAGGTTTTCTGCTAATCCACCTGACAACCTCTTCCTTGACTGTGCATGCTTAAAAGACCTCAAAAGAAAATTAGTACTTGTCACTCAATTCCAAAGTCTAATAAAGGATGGCTCCTGAGCAAGACTGATTTTTCAGGTTCTCTCTGAAAGACCTTGTCAGGATAAAAACCTTCCCAATTTTATCCCAGACCAAGAACAAAGTCATACATCAGAGGGTGAACAACACAGACCTATGGGCAGTAGAAGGCTGCCCTGCAAGGCTTTTCCAGAAGCCTATATACACACACAGTTTCAATTTTTACTTATGAAAAGGCTAGACCTGTTTGGAGAAAAATGAAAAGAGACGGTGTTTTTACAAGTCTTCTAACTTCCTGTATTGATTGTTCACCAGGACGAGCTAAGGATGTAGGGTAACACTGGAATGCAGGTCCTCCCATGTACTTGCGGGGAAGCGGTCTCATCACAGGTAGCAGATGGAGCAGGGAGAACCTGGCAATCAGATATTATTACCAGATATTCTTTTACCACCATTTTTAGCTACTCATCCTGTATCACTGGGACTGCGTAGCCTGCTCAGTAAGAACCCATAACTAGCTGCAACCTTCTTCAGGCTCTTCCTTCACTGTGCATTTCAAGTGACAACCCAGTAAAATGAATGACAACCAGCATAAGTCTGTCCTTTCACTCAGACTCTTCCATGCTCCAGGCCCAGTTGCAGGAATCAACTTAACTGAGCCTGTGGCCCTAAACAAGCTCCTTCAGCCCTTCATGACAGGATGGATTTGAAGATAAGCCTGGCTCCAAATGAACTGTCCACCCTGACAGAACCATTGCCTTAACACCCCATCTTCACATCTTTCTTTTAAACCCTCCCCCTGCTTTCTCTTTTCTCCCACTGCCCAGTTCATACATATCGTCTGTGCTACAGCTTCCCGATCCCTGTATTCAGTGGGACTTCTCTTTGTACCCTTCTCTCTCAATCTTCTTTCCTCCCTGGTATTTACTTCCCACATATTTTCTCTCTCCCTTTCATACATTCCCTCAGCCTCCTTGTCCAACACCCACCATCTAATAATACACTTTCCTGATTATTTTCTTGCCCCAAGCAAGGCTTTATGCCCATGTCACGAAACAAGAAATAGGCCTGGATTTCTTCTTAATAAGACAACTCCATTTATAAGGACCACAAAGACACAATCTCGGCAGACAACAGCTTTTGATTTTAGCTGGAATGAAATAACAATAACTGCTTTTTAAAGGACAAAAATTAAATAAAATTTGCCTGCCAGCAGGCAGTTTAAAAGCCTACAAAAATTGTGACAATTGAGAAAATTTAACAAGATTCAGCAATCCCACATCAGTTCCCACATAATCTGTTACATTCACTCTACGAATGGCTTTGTTACCTTTCACAAAACGCTGAAATTAATGTGGCTCTGCATTTCTGATAGCATCTATGAGTTTCTGCAAAGGCTAGTTTCACTATCTATAGTTATTCCACCACCTTCCAGGAATTCAACAATTCAGACTCCTAATCTGTCTCCCACAGGCAGGAATGCCGTATTAGGTCACTGCATCACAACAAGCTCCCCTCAAATGGAGCCTGTGGCTATCATCGCAGTGGCGTAACTTGTCTCCACGAATTCAGACAGCAGGAAATTCCCTGCTGATCAGGTTTTCCTGAATGTCATCTACAGGAACTTTGATTTTAATAATAATAAAGAAAAATTGGCAATCTGTAATTAAAGATAAATTGTAACCATGTTATTTCTTTAATTTTGTCTTCTAGACACCGAAAAGAGAACAAACAAGTTTTAACCATCTAAATAATTGTAAATATTACTAAAATGCATAGTTGTATAATGACGTTCATAATTTTCCTGTGAGAGAGATCAACTAAAACCCTTGCGCATATTTTAAACAAAGATGATTTTTCTTCCTAGAACTGAGTGGAAACATCGAGGTATTTACTTGGCGTAATTCAGATACCATAAATCATGCTATCTATTTTGGGCCTAGTCCTAAAAACCCACAACCAAACTTCTGTTAACTTATGGGAAGAATGAAGATTTCACCCCCCACCCCAACAAAAGAGGGTAGCATTTCTGCATTTGCCTAGAAGAGAGCAAAGACTGGGCACAGCATTTAAAGTCTCTCCCAAGCACTCATTCTGAAGTGCTGCAGCACAGCAAAGATAATAACTAACAGATGGACTTTCATTCCTAAGTGGTGAATAACCTCTTCGTGTGGTTATGATTTGGTGAACATGGAAGTAGTGAAATGCACTCTTGAATTAGCTATAAAACGAAAGACGTATGGCAGAAAGTAAACACAATATATTGAAATAATGCATGATTTTTATATTTAACTTTGTCACTAGAATTCTGACATTCCAAAAATCTGGAACACAGTGAATTTTGATAGTCCATATGTGTGAAAAAAAAAAATTAGAAAATTAAACGAGCAAAAAAGCAAAGACCTTAGAAGCAAAAAAAGGAAATGACTTGCCATAACAATTCCTTTATAACTAATTCTTACCAACAGTGGAACAATATGAAAGACTACTCTGCCTGAACACTCTTTTAAGGAAGGGGGACGGGAACCAAGTTCAAGTATATTTCAATATGAAAAAAAATTATACTACAGTTTACACAAATATTTTAAAACCTGCTAGCTCCTCCTTCCACTCTCGGTCTACAGTTTTTCTCCCAGTCTAGGACCTCCATAATTTGCCTCAACAAATGCTCACAAACCTCTCCTCCATATTGTCCATACCTGTATAGCTCAAACTATACCCATACAGACCAGATGCCTGGCCAATTCCTTTCCACATCAGATCCCCATCTTAAGTAACACATCCATCACAGATGTCCTTTTTCTGAAAAATGAGGACAAGAAACCTTCTCTTATCAACCAGTTGGCTCACAAGTCCTGCTAGGAACCAACTGAAAAAGCACAGGAAGAAAAGTTGCCAGCATACCAGAAAAGCATCTCAGACATTATCACCATCTCGTAACTATACCTACATA